AATCGTATGATCCCTGCTGCTGGCTGACTCTGTCACTGAACTGTCAGTTGTTACACTGCTGAATGAACCACTCCCAGATTCTCCTGCAATGAGCTGCAAGTGGAGAATTCATCATACGTACCTCATTTGTTCTTTGTCGCCAGCCCCTCTGTCCCTTGGAAGTGAAGAGAGGCCATACCACTGCCGACCACCAGTGCTACCCCTGCCCTATATGGACCGCTGCCCTGTGGTTCTTCTTTCCATTCATGGTCCTAAAATCACATTAAGCCAATGCCAATAAAATCTGATCAAATCCCATTAATGGTAAATTTAATTTAAATAAAGTTTTAAATGAGTATCTTCTGCAGTTGGCTAGTTGACTGGGATGGAAAAAAATAAAATTAAGCCTGCACAGGAACATATACTGTATGTAAAAGGGTGAGTATTTTTTTTTTTTTTAAAGACCCTTCTCTAGTCTTCCAGAAACTCTGACTTTTGGTACATGTCTGAAGCAATTCCTAATAATCCCCACAAGATTTACCTAAACCAGTAGCCCTGCAAGCATTATGAAATATTAATTAGACATAATAGGACAAACATGCAGCCCATACATTTAAGTCAAAATTACAATGTTCTTTTTTGATTCTTTATGTAAAATCAGGTCCAATAAAGCAAATTTAAGATATAACAGAGACAGAAATCTACGTTATTGAGAAGGAACACAAATTACAGTAAAAATTAAATGATAACAGTGGAGTTAGTTATAGGATTTCAAATTGAAATAAAGAGACCATATAATTACAGCATCAGCAAGTTTAAAATTTGCATGATGTTGAAACATGTTTTCCCCAACATGAACTTCAATACAGTGCTGTTTTGTTACAGCTCCACCAGCACACGACTCTGCTACAGGTCAACAGTCTCAATGGAACTGTCCACCAGTGGGAAACACTGACCGGGATAATACAGGATCACTTGTATAAAGTACCTAGCTTTTAGTTGTCGAGTGTCCGTGCACGAACAGCACATGAGCCTGCTTTACAGTCTCAGCATGCTTGAAGAGCTCGTGTCAACAACAGCTAAAGGATACGAAGCCTCGTTTCCATGAACATCACCATCTTCATACAGGATGTTACAGCTGAGCTCTAGACTGTACCACCCTACACTGGGGTGTGTCCTCGTGCTGGGGCTGGTTTGTGAATGACACGCATGAAGCTGCTGAGCAAGCTGTTTCTTGTCTGATCAAACCAAATGTAAAAGACATAGTGAACACATGTAGTAAGTGTCCTCTGACAAAACAGGCTGGTTTCTGACTGGTCTGACACAGCCCACCCTTCACTCCCCCACACAACTCAAAGGATCAAGTTAGCATTAAAACACTTTAACGCCCTTTCTAACTTTAGAAACAACTTCCCTTGCACTTTTGGTTCCTCATTCACTGTTACCATCAATTCCTGCGGTTACATTTGTGGCCATGTTATCTCATACAATTTGAGGAACAATCAGAGAATTTGAGACACATACAAAACCATAAAGCACCTGCACTTCATACTCGTTTGACCTCCTTAAACCTTCTATTCTGTAAGTGTTTAGTGTGGGTAGCTCCTATTTTCATGGCTCCACCACTGCTATGAATATCTCACATTTGTAATGTGAAATAGTGGGCTATATACAGTGGGTACGGAAAGTATTCAGACCCCCTTAAATTTTTCACTCTTTGTTATATTGCAGCCATATGCTAAAGGGAAGTAGACGATGAGCACGGTATAAATAGGAAGAAACTAATCAGGTGCAGCTGGTGGTGATTCAGGGGACATAAAGCAGGTGTGTCAGATAAAGAAATCAGGGGTAAGGGAGCTAAAATAGAGGGAGAGAAGTGAGAGAGGCAGGTGCAGCCGGGCAAACCTGACATTATTGGTGTATGAATTTGCTTGTGCATTTGTGGTGGTGGCTCCTGTATCTACTGTTCAATATTCAAATAACCTTAACATAGACAGAAAATGTATAGTTGGATTTTTAAGATTTAGAGTTTCTTGGGGGGAGGGGGTCCTAAGTGTTAAATGAGGGGTCTGAGCACACTGAATGTGTCATTCTCACTCATGTAATGTAAAACCCACTACGCTCTCAGCATTCCTCACCAGGTAGGTTGTTGATGTACGCTCCGTCCATTAGTAAGTGTCCATCTTTAGGATCACAGAGAGGGGGCAGGTAACCAGACAGTGACATACTGGCCCTGACATACTGCCACAAGGAACTTGAAGAGGAAATGGGAAGTTAGCAGGTTGACACAAATATGTTTTTAAAAATGACTCCAGAATTTACAGTCTTCAGCTCTTAGTGTGATTTGTTCCAAAGCTGTCACAGTGTTCACTGTCTGCAAGGATTTTGTCATTTTGCCTTGGTAAAGGACACATTGAATCCAGTGACCACTGAAGTTTGGAACAGTCGCTCTGACCAGTAACCTGGCATCTGAGCAAACTACAAAAACCACAAAGCTCCTTTCTGTAAAAAGGATCACTCACTGAAGGTGCTGGATATTACTGTAGCTGCAATAAGGCCCTGACCATTGAGTTTTAGCTCTGTACTGTATACTCTCAAAATCAGACTTAATAGCTTATTACTACTGGCAGCTGGAAGACAAAAGAGTTGGTCTTAAAGAAACCCTCACCTTACCTCTATCTGTTTGTCCTTGAAGACTGAACTAATGCTGGAGTTAAAGGAAGCTCCAGAAAACATGGAGGTAATAGGGTAGGTCAAATCCAGGATCTTCTTAAAGAAAGAGGTCATATTCTGAGAAAGAAAAGAGGCTACAAAAAAAGGTTTGTAGTGAGAAGTGAGGCATTCAAAATCCACCACTGGGACTAGGATATATGAGTGGCAAGCTAGGGTCAAAGCTAAAAAAA